TGGATATAAAGGTTTGGTCTCGGAAACCCTCGCTTATGTAAACAGTCTAATATGAATAAAGGTTAGAAAAATCAAGCCTAATATGTAGTAGTAGTAAGTGCAATTCAAAGGGTCACTGTCAACTTAGAATCACATACTGTAAACCAGTGGTCCCCAGAATTTTTACCTTGAGTACTCTTCCCCCTTTACTCCTACTTGCATGTGTCCTTCCTCTCCCCAAGCTGGGCCCAGGAGTGGAAGTGCAGCTTTGGGTGAGAGGAGATGGACACAGACAGAGGTAAGGGGCCAAGGCTGGGGCCACAGTTGAGGCATGAGCAGAGCCTTGACCAGCAGCCAGGGCCTGTGTGTACAGGACAAGGGCCAGGAGCGGAACTGGGTGGCACTCCCTCCCCACCCAGCATGGAGGCTGACCCAGTTCCCAGCTGCACCCCCCCATCATTCCTCTGTATCCCCAAAAGGGGTGCATGCTCCCCACAATTTGGGGACCACCATCAGTGATACAAATGGTAAGTTAGATTTTGAAAACACAAATTTTATTTAAAAAAATTCTTATACTGTTTATATTTTTCTTTTACTCTTTCATTTTCCCTGATAAGAGTAATGAAAAATCAGCTGTCAGCTTCATTTTTGTACATAGGAATTGCACTGAGGCTTTGTGCTACATTGTTTGCCTTTGAAACACTGCAACAGAATGCTTATTTGTTTAAAACATCTTGTTTCATTTGCTCTTTTTTTTTAAAAAAAATCATGAAACGCAGTTCAAAAGGATTTGGGTTTTATAAAACTTTTGTTCATATAAAAATTAAGTTTTGAGCCAGATTTGAATTAATAGTCTCCCTTTACCAAGAACCTTAGGGTCTTATATCAATGTGAGCTCAGAAATAATTTTGCCAGTACATATTTGGCTACTGGAAAGATTTAAAGTCTCACTATTTCAAAATAATAATAATAATTAATAATAAATGATTTGCTTTCAAATCAACTATTATCTGAGGATCTCAAAATTCATTACAACTTTAATTTAGCTACACAAGAAGACTGTGAGATAAGGTCACAGGGTGTCCAAGGTCAAAAAGTACGTCAGATCTCTATTCTAACCATGAGACATATTGTATCTCTAATATGAATGTTCAGTTTTCATGTTCAATATAAGTGTATGTTTATTCAAATAAATCACCCATATTCTTGCCTCAAGAAAACTACCTCTCTTTAAAATCTTCAGCACAGGCTTGAATATTCTCCATCTGTAACATAAGACGAGCATTTTCAAGGACTGCATCACCCACCTAGAATAATGACACAACAGAGTTAGAGCAATTAAATATGTGTATTTTGTAAGCAAATGCGTAATTTTAGATTCTGAAAGTAATTTAACCTATGGCCTAGAGCGGCTGTAAATATTCCATGAATGTAGTACCTATTCTCAAATTATCCACAGTTTAATTTTTCTTAATTTCTTCATGTTCACAAATGTTCAACAACTAATTGTGAAAACAAATTGTTTTGTAATTTCTTGTTGTCAAAATGGTCACCATGGGTGAAGTTAACTGTTGCGTGGGGGACACAATATAAGGTCTATACATAACTTAAGTATATGGAGCTTGTACAGGGCCATGTACTCAGTAGTGAATTTCATCCAGTGAGTATTTCCAATTTATATCATGTGACTAAAACCTACAATAATATTTGAGATTCCTAATTGTGTGGCATGGGCTTCATAAATAGGAGTCTTTTTTTTTTCTTTACACATCTATCCATGAACACGTGTGACTGTTAGACAAAAGTATTTTGTGATTGGAAAGAGCTTTTCAAACTGGCCAAGAGAGTAATTGCAGTACAATTCCTTCTTTTGGCTATTAATCATAATATTTTGCTTTCCATAAATGTTCTTTGTGAATAAAAATACCCACGTTTGCAAACACAAGAGGCTGTGAATTCCACCAAAGAGCTCAGTTTTGCCATGCTGATTCTCACGGACTAGTACCTTATTCTGCAAGTACTCTCAACTATATGGCAAGAAACTACTCAATGTGAGTGAGAGAGTCATACATAGTCCTAAGTGAACTGGCAGGAGTAAATCTCAAGAATGTTTAAAAATACATTGTTCTACACACCCCGTGCTACTTATGGAACACAGAATTAAAGACAAATCCAGAATGAGCCTTTAGCTTTGCTTTTAATGAAAAAGAAATATGTCCACCAACAAATTACTATAATAACTCTAACTTTTGCATAACATTTAGAGAGTGATACACAGAAGATTGAGCTGAATTAAAATACTGTACATTCTGGACACTTTTTACCATAGGGTTGAATGAAATTCAGTGTTCTAAATGCCAGAGCTTTCTGTAAAGCATCCAACTAAATGCAACAAATGGAGATGGGACTTGATAGACAATTAAATCAGATGTTAATGCTCAGGAGTTCTTACACCCAAGCAAACATCTATCCTCGGGATAGGTGTTTAAGTACCCATCTTCTAAGACATGTTAGAAACCTGTAACATTTGAGTTAATGAAAAACAAAACTTAGGCATGATCGAAAGGTTTTGAACAGAAGCTAACTAAGTGAGCAACTGGGAAATAAATGATCCTCTGGGCCAACTCATTCAAACCTTGAAAAATCCAGTGTCATATTCAAGCAAAATGCGAAACACTTTAGATTACATAATTAGAGGTATCAAAGACTGAAGTTGACATAAATACTTATCCATTTTTCCTGTCATAGGATTTAGGTAGGAAGTGTTGCAAGTGGCTGAAGCATGTAATTAAGGGCTGCTCTTGACCACTATAAAGTTAAGCACATTTAAAAATCCCCTCACATCCTCCATTCACCACTCAAGTCCTTGTCTTCCTTTCCCCACTCTTCAGCAGCTTACCCTCACTTCTGCTGGCCTTACACCCTACCTTCCAAACAATCAGTCTGTCTACATGAACGAGCAGTTCACTGAGGACATAACAGAGGTACAATAAGAATCTAAGGGGTTTGATGAGCTGTTTTTGCATCACTTCAGAAAGGGGAGCAGGAGATGGAGGGACTCATGGCAGCAGTGCTGAGAGAGGGTCTGTCACAGACAAATGCCCTAGGGAGCCCCATTATTTTGGCTGTGTTTTAGTGTGGAGGGGAATAAAGATCAGGATCAGCCTAGTCTTTTCCTCACTACTAGTGCTGAACCTTTGGCAATAGTGGGAATTTCTCCCTTTCTGGGGCACTTACTTTGTCATGTTCTATCCTGCATTGGGGTTTGGTTTTCCTTTGAAGAATTTTGGACTGCATTTTAATTGCACTGAATTTTGACCATATCCATCAAACACGGATGAATACTGCAAAACATTTTTATTGAATTTTAAATGAATTAATGTTTGCTTTATCTGAGTCCTTTGCTTTACTTTTTCTGCAGACAGCCTTGCAATCAAATTTTCATTGCGACGTTGCATGTGTGGATTTTTGCAGAAACCATTTTTTCACTCATCCAGTCTATATGGTTTAAAGTAGTTTGTCAAAAAAAAGTAAGAAAAAGAAGTAAATGTGAGGAAATTGTGTGCATTACACCGCCAAAACTAGACAGAATTAACTATGTATTGCGAGTTATTTATTAAGCTTTATTAATCACCAAACTTAAAGTGCCATATTGAAACTTAGTGTAAGAGGATGCAAATCCTTTGACTCCAGTGAAATTGCACCTGGTTATGACACATGTGAACGTAGTCCAGAAAATATAAAATTAAGAATTTCACCCAATATGTAACTTTAACCATTCTGTCTTGCCACCTTGAAGAGCATAAATCAAGAAGGGAAAATCTTTGTTTTGATGCACTAAGTTCAATAGGTCAAATTCTGTCCACAATTAAACCCATGCAATCCTATTGATTTCAGTGTCAGAGAGGCAAAACTTCAGTGTGGTTGCAAAAGTGCAAACGAAAGCAATATTTGACCTGCAATATATAGTTGTTCTTGCTTTAATTATCCACCTCCAGATGAGTTCAAAATCTGTAGTGTCCAAGTGAAATAAGCTTTTGGTCTTAATATAATCCCTGATCTTCAAAAGTATGTAGGCATCTAACTTCAGTTAATTCCAGTGGAAGTTAGCCTAAATAACTTTCATGATGTGGACCCAAGTCCCTAAAGAATATTTGAGCACAGGAAAAAACCACTTTGCAGCACAGCAAGGGTGTATCTCTTCTCATAGGAAGAAGCTGATCCATATCTTTCAGTTACTTGAATAAAAGTTGGAAAGTTGGATCAGACACTAAAATAGCAATGATGATGCAGGTCAGTAGTGAGGAACAGCTGCAAGTCTGATTGAGGGAACTTGCATAATGATTTAAAGTTTCTTGCTCTCCTATGTATCACATTCATCCAATAATAATAATAAATCCCTGGAATTTTATCAGAAATGCAGTTCTGAATCCGCTATCATGTCAAACCTATTTCACTGTTACTGCTGTTACTAGTGAGAGCATCACAGCTTTTTTTCCTTTTTAAGGGAGTTCCTTGAGAGGGCTGGACCCCAAACTGATTGGGAGTCTTTCCACTGAATACACTGTCTTGCGTGAGCTTTGGATAAGGCCCATAATGGCAACTGATTTAGTGCATGTTCCTGCCCCATGATGCTCTGAACATTTGCCATTTACTGCAGTAGAAATGGGATTGGAACCATAGTGACAGGTGAGCCAGTTAGTCTCCTGTGCCAGAAAAAGAATTGTCCAGTGCTTTTGGATTTGGTTAGAGTGGATTCTTTCTTGGCTTTCCTGGATGCATTACAATAGAGAGGTTCAGCTTTATGTATCTTGTAAAATGTCAATAGACTGCTGACTATCCACCCTCTCAGAGAGTCTGTCTGCCCAAAAATGAATAAATAACAAATATACATATTTAGACTAACCATGTGTCCTGAGTAGTGGAAACAAACCTGAATAATGGTCTTATTATTATTCATATCAAATACTATTCATTTGTGGTACTTTAATCATTTCATTTCCAAATAAAACTGGGCCTCCTGATGTGTGAGTAAAATGATCTAACTTACAGTGAAATCCAAGAGGGGCGTAATTGGTGATCTTTCAGAGAGCTGGGTTTATATATCTCAGTGGGTCAAACTGATCCCTGGTATAGCCCATTGATTTCAATTAAGTTACATATAACACATTCTGTTCCAATTATTTTAAGAATAATAACACACATTTGCAGTAGTACAGGCAGTCCCCGGGTTACGTACAAGATAGGGACTGTAGGTTTGTTCTTAAGTTGAATCTGTAAGTCAGTCAGAACTGGCGTCCAGATTCAGCCGCTGCTGGAACTGACTGCCAGTTCTGACTTACATACAGATTCAACTTAAGAACCCCAAGTCCCCAAGTCAGCTGCTGCTGAAACTGATCAGCGGCTGATTCCAGGAAGCCTGGGGCAGAGCAACTCTGCCTCGGGCTTCCTGTAGTCAGCGCTGGTCAGTTTGGGCAGGCCAGCGGGGGTGCTGCCGGGTTGGTCCAGTAGTGCCCAGAGGGGCGCTGCGGGCCCAACCGGCAGCGCCCCCGTTGCTCTGCCCCAGGGTCCACAACAAAAGCCTGGTCTACTGGGGGGGGACACACTAGCTGCACCCCCCCAGCAGACCAGGGACACGGGGAGCAAAGCCGCAGTGGTGGGGTGCCGCGCCTCTGAGGCTTTGCTCTGGCACAGAACCCGCCGCCACTGCGGCTTTGCTCCCGGTGCCCCTGGTCTGCTGGAGACAGTCCCCAGCAAACCAGGGGCACCGGGAGCAGCTTTTCTCGCCCCGGAGGTCAAGGTGGCGGACCACTGCCTGCGAGCTCCAGGGCGAGAGAGCCCCGTTCGTAAGTGCGGATCCAACATAAGTCGGATCCGTGTAAGTCGGGGACTGCCTGTACTAAGTTTTACTGAGACACTAAGGTTAACTTTGCTATATGGCCTACTCTTGATGCAGGCTGTCTTGAATTTTGGAAATGTTCAGTCTTTGAATCCAAAGTATTTTAAATTCTGGATTCAGACCTGAATTTTGTGGTTTGAGTCCATCACTAATAGGAATATCTACAGTTTCTTATACTGCTACAATTGAAATCAGTAAGAGCTGTGTTTTTCAGCACAGCTCAAAACCAAACCTATATTGTTAAAAACTAGATGATAGAGTTGAGGAAAAGAAATATATATGGATAACATTTGGAGAAACTTGGAATCCTGAAAAATCATCTCCCGTATATTTATATTAGCTGTGAAAAAGTATAGATGTTAGTCTACAAAAGAGTAACCTAACAAAAAATTATGAAAGACTTCCATC